CCTCCCGCGTACCTGGTACGCTGCACACTCAGCGCGTGGTCTTCTGCTCTAGCAGCCTCTCTGAACCCCTTACCAAGCCTGTGTGTTTGTGCCACTTACTCACTTTCCTAAACGTTTCGTCTGTATATGTCAGACCTCACTTGCTGCCTTTTATTACCGGTTGCACCATACTCTAGTCTCAAACTTGCCCGCGTAATCAGCTTTGCCCTAACCTGTGCACCCCTTTTCCTCCACCTGAAACTGTTCTCCAGAGCAGCTGAGGAGAGGCACACCAGCCCTCATGCGTACCCCCTTGTTTTACCCCCGTAGTCTGCCTGATAGTTTCTTGCACATTGCAGAGAACATCCCTCAAACACTCTTCCATATGTTCCTTTCTGTTTATCTTGGTGGGAGACCCGAGGGGAAATCTTTTGGGGAAAGGAGCCACCTTGTACATGTTCCTTGTGTCTCCCGCATCTGTGCACCAGGAGAGAGGGAGAGCCATCCTAAAGCACCCTCAGTGCATCCCTGTTGAACATCCAGTGTATTTCTGCCCTCTTACCCCATTGTTTCTATACCTCGGTCCCTTTATAAATGATAAGCTTCAGAGCAATTTTCTGTTTGAAGTACTCTGGTAAAGACAGTGGCTTATATTCAGATCTTCAAAGATTACGTTCTTTTAGCTCAAGATATGTTTGTGTCTTTCATTTCAGGAGACAGGGTTTTTTTTAATTAATCACAAATTTTTAACACCATGCACACCTTCCTTGACATATCACTGTTTTTATTGCAACACTTTCTAATCTGTTTGCCGTGAAGTTAGGTTCTTAACAGTGTCCAAGATCTGCTAACATTCGCCTATGGCATATGCTTTATTTATATGCATATTGTTAATACCATATATAATCTCTGTAGTGAAAAGCAGCCTTTAAGAAAGTGTGTTTTAGCATCATAACTGTTTTTTTCTCTGCGTTTTTAAATCATTTTTCTTTTCACTGGAGCTTTTTGTGATTGCCAGGGTTCTTTATTGTCTCTGACACGATTGCTGCTGTTTTCAGCCCGTTTCAGCGTTAGTCATCCAAGTACTATGCTCAGATTGCTGTCATGCTGCCTGACCCAGGAGCAGCAACCTGAAGTATCTATCTGATAGAGTACTCAGGCTTTTCTGGGGTCTCTTATTTTATTAGTAAGGTGCTTGAAAACACCTGTAAGTAAAATATCCTCAGCCCATCTGATTGCTGTTGAGATTTTAGTGAAGTGTTGTAAAGATAAATGCACAAAAGTTCAAATCTGATTTCAAAACCAAACAAAAAATTACCCGTTTTGTGAACCTTGGTACTTGGCTAGCAAACCATTGACCTTATATAAAGACCTGGCTAGTTTTATGAATTGTCTCAGAGCCTTGTGTGCTTCTGTTGGCAATTTTGTACTAAAATCTGCTGTGTGTTCAGTATTTAACTGTCTCGTACGACTTAGCGGGTTTTGTGGGGTTTTTGTGTGGCTACCTGAGAGCAGGGCACTTCAGGTTGTGAAGTAGCAATTAAATTCCTTACCTCAGCTCATAGGAAATTGAGAACCAGAACCTATTGCCTCATCTCAAATGCTTGTAAATAAGACTTTCTTTGCTATTTGTTTTGGAACATCAGGAACTATGTGCTGCTTAACTGTCTCGATTTTTGGATGTGCAGAAAAAATAATTAATCCTGCATATCCAGAAATAGTTCTGCTTAATGTGATCTCTTCCCTTAAATCTAAATTAGAACTTTGTTTGCAGTGGTGTAAGAACTATGATGTGGAAGTTTTAGATTATCTAAGGTTTATTGCCTTGTTCTGTTAAATGAAACCCAGAATTTACTGATCGTTGCATCCTGGGGATGGTTTTGGTGCAATGAACAGTTGCTGGTTATTTTCATAATACTGTCCTAGGATGCTGCTCTGTTGTACTGCAGTCCAGTTTAGTAGGAGCCCTCTCCAAACTATTATGTATTTCATGTCTAAGAAAATTGGGAATAAGAGACAATGCTTGTTTAAAATCAAAATTTGATGGATTTTCTTTGTTAAAAAAAGGATAATTTTGTGTTATATCCGTTACACTAAGAGCAATATAACTTTATTTCTCCATTGTGGACATCGGATCTCTTACATCGGAACAGGACATGTTTTTACATAAAGCATATGCTGGAGAGCCTACTGTTTTGTAATGGAACTATGAAAATATATCTCTCTTTCAAAAAAAAAAAAAAAAAAAAAAGGAGCAGCAAACAACCATTGCAGCAGGATTCACTCAGATTCTAATATTATCCACTCTGGATTTTGGAGTTCAGTCTTCAGATTCAGCTTTTAAAGCTAATGTACTGGCCTCTGCGTTTACTACTTAATGCGAAGTTTAAACCTTTGTTCTTCCGACTATATGTTTATCCCCCAAACCAAAACAGCTGACTTGTGATTACAAATAAATCTGCCTTCTAGTGAGTGTTGGAAAGCATGAAGGTCATTCAGTATTGCCCACATGTACAAATCATGAGCTTAAAGCTGTTAACTTTGTAAGGAATGCAGTTTTATCACTGTACAGTGCCCTATTGCACTACATTCCATAACCCGTGCATGGTACATAAATTTACAATGCAATTGCTCTTTTTATTGTTCTGCTGTTCTGTGTTAGACTTAATGATTAGGAGCCCCAGATTGCCAAAGACTGTGATTTTTACTTTTCTTCTTTCTTTCTTTTTTCTGCATTGATACAGTAAGCAGTTAGAGATGGGTGTGTTAGCTCTAACCGGTCAGCACTCTGAAAAAAAAACCAACAAACAACAGACTTGGTTCTCATCCCCATCTTCCCTATCTCCACTAAGACTTCCCCTGGTTTGTATTCAGAAGACTTCTGGACAAGCACTTCTTGAAGCAAATGTTATGTTTTATATACAGCCAGTAAAAGAGAGAGATTGATTTGTTTTGGGGGCTGTAAAACTTGGGACTCCAAGGAATTCTGAGACTGGCTGTGTTTATCAGTTAAGTCACTTAACTGCAGTTCTCTTCATGGCTCTAGTAGAGGGCAAATTCCAAGATTTTGGGGATGGAGGCCTATTCGTTCCTTGTACTGTTAGGCATAAATAACTGCTGGAAAAGACTTTTTGTTGAAAAACCAGATAAGACTAGGATGTGTGCTTTGAGTCATCATGATGATATTTCAGAAAGCAGCGGCTAAGCAGTTTCTGTGAACTGCCCTCTTAAATTTGTCTCGCCTAAAACTTGAAGAGATCTAATCTCTTCGGTTGATTCTGAAAAAAACCCCAGATTTTTCTGTCAACTCGGTTCTTTAATTTGACTTCCAGAATTAGAAAAATCTATGAAGCGACCCGCTAGTAACTTGTCCGTCTCCTCCATTAACGGACTGAATGAAAGCTCTTAAAGGTGTTGGAAAGGTTCCCTTGTTAGCCCCTGGAGGAAATGTGATTCAGTGTCCTTCTGACTGCATCCTTTTGCCGTGCTCCCAACACAGGAGCAGAACTAGGTGTTCTGAAGTTGTCCTTGCAGGACACCTCATGTGTGAGCTTGACTCTAACATAATGTGCTGCAGGAACACTAAAACAAATAGATTACGCTGAAGGAATTCTACATGCTTCCTCTCCCACCTCTTCTCAAAAAAAGAAAAATCCCAAACAACCTAGACTTTGTTGCTGTCCTGCTGGTTTCTTCTGTCTCATGAAAACAAGAGCATCTAAGCTGGTGTTTTCCTAAAGGCACATGATTCGTGTGGAGAGGACTTTAAGGGGCATGTAGCTTCTTTAAACATAGTTTTGTGCCAGGTGCCTGTTGCTGTGGAGAACCCATGTACTTGGTAGAGTGTTAGAAGGACATTGCTGGCTCCGTGCTCTCCCCGCTCACATGCGTGCTCTGTCTTCTGCTATTCTCTTTCAAGCACCAGGTAGATTTTATTTTTTGTTTGTTTGTTTTAATGAACTACCTCAAGGCACTAGCTTAATCTTGGATTTGGGTATGTGTTTCTGCGCTACTTCGTCATAGAAGCTGGTTTCTGAGTTCATCTATGGACAAAAAAAAAGACAAAAGTATTTCTTTGTGATTTTTAAAAGCATGTGCACGCTTCCAATTTCAATATTCTTTCTCAAGATTTCATATGCTTTAGAAATAAAAAAAATGTAATCTATATACTTTTATGTAACAAATCTGTGGCAGGTTAGTAAAACCTGCGGTTAAACAGATCAGTCCAAGTTTTAGAATCTCCCTGATAAGCTATTTAGAGCTTATGTTTTGGGTTGGGTTGGTTTGGTTCTTTTTTAAAGAAACAATTAACAGGGCTCAGCAGTTTGTTAGTTTGATTTTTCTGAAGTGTGAACTTTCACAGCTCCCAACCACATATCTGTCCCTTTCCAGGGATCTGTTCCTGATAGGTTTTTATTATATGTGTGCTTAGGAGCTGCAGAGACGCGTTGTCAAGAGACCAAATGTTTGAGAATGAAAGGCTTTACCATATCACTTTTATAACATTAGCACTTTTTAAAAGCTTAGCCTTGCCATTCTTTGTGGATCTGTGTACACTGGGGGTTGTGAAATATCTGTCTGCAGGGTGCAAGGGGCGTTTTTCCCACCCAGCAGTTCAACTCAAGACTAGTTTCTCTTAAGGACTGGTGGCGGAGTATCAGTATAAACTTGTTTTCAGTATTCCGATTCTTCTCTCAAATCCTTAGTGTGTGGATATTTTAAAGCCTGCTAGTGTGATGTGAACCCTTTTGCACCCAGTTGTGCTCACCCATAAAGCCAGGTTGGTCTTTCAGAGCCAAACAATTTTGAAGGGCTG